CCACCAAGGGCAGGGGGGGGGAGAGGAACAAGGGACTCAGGGTCTTCCATTTCCCTCCCGCTCTTGCAGCAGAAGGAGAAGATGGGGAGAAGGCCCCCTTGTTCACCTGTGTGGCCCGGCAGCTCCCGGCTGACCCGGACGTTTCCCTCCCGGGTTTTGAGGCTGTAGATGGAGCAGATGTTGTCAAGGCCTCCACACGCCACATAGTTCCCAGACGGCGCATAGGCACAAGTCATGACCCAGGACGACCGCAGGGGGATGGCATGGACCTAGATTTGGAGGCAAGGAGATGGGCAGGAGATGAGACAACCAGAGAGGGATCGACAGGGCGGCCACTCCCCAGCCCTGGCCCGAGATGGGCATCCGGCACCTACCTTGTTTGTGGTGTAGCTGTCCCAAATAATTAACTTCCCATCTTGGGAGGCACTAACCAGAAGCCTGCAAGTGGGAAACAGCAGAGAAAAACAGTACTATTTTATCCCTTTTTATCCCACATTTCTCCCAATAACAAGACTCAAGGCAGCTAACATATTTAAAAAGAGTACAGATTAAAATTATACAAACACTTTGACAAAAGCATGGATCAAACCATTTATAAAGTTAGAACATTAAAATTCATTTAAGAAAAACTATATACAAATGGTGAAAACAGCACCAGACATCATCGAAAGCCCATCCCAGCCAGTTTCCAAAAGCCTGGTGGTGTACACATCTCTTGTTGGTGGAAGGAGAGCAAGGAGAAAGCCATCCTGGCCTCCCAAGGGAGGGAGTTGCAAAGCCTGGGAGCAGCCACCAAAAAGGCCTCGTCGGCTCCCCACTGTCAAATTATCAAATTATTTAATAAATTATCAAATTATTTAAATCAATTATCAAATTATTTAATATGGTTTTTAGTCTGTTCAAGTGACTCTTACTGTTTTAAATTGCTCTAAAACATTGAAACTGACTTTACCATTCACCATGGCATGACAGGGAAGGATCTATTTTTCAAATAAGAATTAAATAAACAAATACATGCGAGGTTTATTAATTAGATCTTCAGGAGAGGCCGCTGTTCCATCCCACCATCTTTGTCGATGGGCCAAGACTTTGCTTTTAGAACTGAAAGCTTTTAAGGGCTTTCAAGAGAGCACGGTATAGTTTTAAAGTATACTATATTTAAACTGCTTTTTATACCCAAGACATTTTTATTGTTTTAATCACAAATTAATGTGACTAATGTTCATAGATTAATTCTATATTTATTTAATTTATATCCCACCTTTCTCTTTGAAAATGAGACTCAAGGCAGCTGACAATACACATTAAAACAAAGTGGCTGAAACAATATGAGGTACAAAGGTGTTTTTTTTTAAAATTAAACAATCTAATTAAAGCATTACTGTAAGACATTAATTTAAGGCAATGAAAAAATTTATTCCTATGTATTAACAACAACAGCACACCCACTGCATATCCTTCTTCCTCCACCAGTTAAAGGCTGAAGGCCTGTCTGAATAGGAAGGTCTTTGCCTGTTGGTGAAAGGATTTTGTGTTTTCAATCAAACTGTGCTCTTTTTAATATCTAAGCTGCTTTGGTTCCCAGGTAAGGGGAAAAGGCAGTGTATAAATAAAGAGGATGACACTGAGGAGGAGGAGGAGGATGTGCATTTTGATTGCTTGGAGTTAGGGGACGATGGGATGATGGTAGACCCTCCCCATCCCAGTCTGAATCTCTTTGCCAGCCTCCGCACCCTCACCTGGAGTCCGTCCCCCAGTGCATGGCATATATTTTGGCCAAGTGGCCCCGCAGTGTGCGCCTTGTCCGCATCTGGATCCGGCCGACTGGATCGAGGCCAGCTGTGATCTGGGAAGGAGGTGGGGGAAGAAAAGAAAGATGCTTAATACTTAAAATAAATAAATGAATAAATGCTTCAATACATGTACAGTTAGTTGGTCCTCCAAATCCACGGATTATACATCCACAAATTCAACCATCCATGGCTTGAAATTGCCACATTACATAAGGGAAACCATTTCACTACCCCACTATATATAATGGAACTTTAGCATCCATGGATTTTGATATCCATGGGGGGTCCTGGAACCAAATCCAATCAGATACTAAGGACACACTGAATACATCACAGCTAACAAAGCAGATGCAATCCTGGGCATTAAGAGCTGTTTGAAAGTGGAATGGACAGGCTTGGAAGGCGATGGACTCTCCATCTTTGGAGGCCTTTGAGCAGAGCTTGAAAGGGCATATTTCAAGAGAGCTTTAGTTGTGTGCTGCATGACTGGGGGCCAAACTAGATGTCCCTTGGGGTCTCTTCCAACTCTTAAGATCCTCCATGATACAATTATTCTTTCATTAACAGAAAATGTGGTACACAAACAGAAATAATATGGCCAAAATGTTCCTACACCACAGAAAAAGGAGCATGTTTCAGCAAACTTTCCATCCAAAACTAACAAGCCTCACTGATGAAATGAAACAACTAGGTCAGCTAAGCCTGGCATTAAGTAAAGAGACCACCTGAAGGGCTTTTCAAAAATTTCTTTCATCAGCCTTCAGTTTTCTTCTTATTTCTATTGTGGATGCTTATCTGTCCTCCTTTTTCCCTCTCTACTTTGTTATTAATCCATACACAGTAAAGAATCCTGGAAGAAGCTGCTGTTTACCTTGCCTGTTGTAAGCAAGAAACACATCTACAGTAGGATTGACTAGAGCAGAATCCAGCTTTTTCCCAACTCAAGCTTTATTTACTGCCTTGTTTATGGCAAATATTTCGCAACCTAGCCCTGAAAATCTGGGTTTCTCCAACACTCTTTCACCATTCCCCCTCAATTTTGATGCTGCTAAAAAAAGTCCATCATGACAAAGGACAAGTAGGAAAAGGGTGGACGGGTGTAAAAAGAAGCTTCACTGTCTGAGGTTTTGTTAAAGAAGCAGAAGGAACTCCCAGGATTGAACTCCAAGGAAATGGGGACATTTTGTCACCTGATCTACACACCCACAGTTTGGCATTATCCCCCTTTTGGCTGGGAGATTCTGGGAGTTGCAGTCCACAAAAACATATGCTCTAAAACTCTGGGTACTCTTCTGTGGTTGCTGATGGCTTGGGATGGACTCAGGAGGGACACTCCAGATGTGGTTGGACTACCACTCCAAGTATCCCCCATCCTTGGCCATGTTGGCTGTGGGGGATGCTGGGAGCTGCACTCCATTAACTCTCAGATTTGTTCAGCAAGGGGCTCAGTCTTACCTGGGTCAACGTTGAGTCGCCACATGCTTTCCTGGCGTCCTGCAGAAAAGGAATCAGAACTTTGATAAATCTTCATTTTCTTTTCCTCTCATCCCCCCCCCCAACAACTCATCTCGACCCCTAAGACATATTTGAGATTCTGGCAAATCTTCCTCTCCCTCCAATCTCAGCTGCCCCACATTAGCATCCCCTAGTCCTTCCCCCCCAATCCCCAACCCCGAAGAACATAGAGACACCTGGATCGCCCCAAAACTGAATTAAATGGGCTAAGATTTTAGAGGGAAAGAGAATCCCATTTTTTGGGAGAAAGATGGGGTGCAACTTCAGTAAATAAACAGAGGAGAAAGAGCATGCTTAAGCCAAGACACCTACCTTCTGCTTTCAAAGACCTGAAGAGGTGACGCTCACTGCCCACCTCAATGAGGTCTAGGAACTTGTGGGGGGGGGTCCTCAGCCAAATCCTTGGGGATCTACTCACCCTGATCTGGTTCCGCAGCTGCTCTGCTTCCTGCCTTAACTGCTCCAGCTCACTCATGGTGGATTTTGGCACAGGGGTGGGGGGCTTAGCCTGCAGCCCCTCTCACTTGGCCACGATCCTGTGAGGAGTAAAAAGGGGAGATTCTGTTATAGCAAGAAGCTCTGGGCCCAATCCCCACTTCCCTCCAGTGTAGAACTGGGCAATAGTTAAGCTCTTGGGGGCCCATGGTGGTCTTTCATGGAATCATAATGACTTGGAGGGGACCCACAAAGGCCATATAGTCCAACCTTTTGCCATGTAGGGACCCACAATCTCCTTGCCCCAGTGGATTTTCCTCCAAAGGCTCCCTCCACCTACCCAAAATTTTGCCATGTCTTCTGCCCAGTAGACGCCTTTTTAAAAAACAGGAAGCCAACTTCCAGCGCACTTCCTCGTGAAACAAAGGCCTCTTTTGGCCTTAAAATGGCCCAGAGGGAACTGAAAACATGGTGAAATTGCCTCCCACACATTTGCTGGGGATAAGGGGGCAATGGGGGCACTTTCTTTCCAAAAAGAAATGGGTAAAGTGACTACCTCCAGTTCATGTTCACATCCATCATATGGATGTTCCCATTTCACAGACAGGGAAGAGGGAAAAGAGAGGCCAGGTTGAGAATTTCTCTCAAGCAAATGACTGTCGACTCCCTTGCCTAAGCCACAGTGGCATGACAGGGCCTCAAGCAGAGGTAAATTTTGAAGGACTGTATGTTTAAGTCACATGCTCTCAGCCTCAGAGAAAGGCAATGGCAAACCTCCTCTGAACAAATCTGGCCAAGAAAACCTATGATAGGCTTGCCTTTGTTGTTGTTATTGTGTGCCTTCAAGTCATTTCCAACTTATGGCAACCCTAAGGCTACATCATAGTTTTCTTGGTAAGATTTGTTCAGAGGAGGTTTGCCATGGCCTTCCCCTGAATCTGAGAGAATGTGACTTGCCCAAGGTCACCTTCATGGGTTTCATGGCTGAGCAGGGAATCGAACCCTGATCTCAAAAGTCATAGTCCAATGCTCAAACCACCAAGCCAGACTGGCTCTCGCCTTAGGATCGCCATAAGTTGGAAACACAGCAACACTTTATGGAAGCATTTTTAAAGACTGGAGATTTGGAATACGGCCAAGCGTTCCATGTAGATTTGCCCCTGAAAATGGTCCAAAACAGGGCAGTGAGGAAGTCACAGAATTGGAAGGGTCCCCTGGCGGTCATCCAGTCCACTCCCCTGGCTCAATGCAAGATTCTCCAGGTGTCCAGTCTCTTTTTGAAGATGCCTCAGAGAAGGAGACTCCACCATCTCTCTAGGCAATGGGTTCCATTGCCGGACTGCTCTCGTTGCCAAGACCTTCCTTCTAATGTTCAGTCAAAATCTACCCTCCTGTTACTTCAAACCATTAGGCCTGGTCCTATCTCTGGGGCAGCAGAGGACAAACCTGCCCCTTCTCTCTGGGGCAGCCCTTGAGATATTTAAAAGGGGCAGCCATGCCACCCCTCAGTCCTCTCCCTGCCAGGCTGAACATGCCCAGCTCTCTCAACCTCTCCCCATATGCATTCTTCCCCAAACCTCTCATCATCCCTGTTGCCCTTCTCTGAATCTCCATCTCCAACATGCTAAAAGGAGGCCAAAGCTGGCCCAAATGGCCAGACAACCGGTCATCTACCACCTGTTCCTGGAACAGCTGGGAAACCTGACTTTTCTGGACTACATCTCCCAGAATCCTGCACTAGCCATGCATGTTTTAAGGCACTCGGGGGTTTGTTTGTTTCTTTTTCTTAAGAGATCTGCTATTGTAACATTTGTCTGCTTTTGTTTTATGCTTATTTATTTAGTTTTGTGATTAGTCTCTGTTCTGTTTGGTAAGAAGGACTCCTGTTGATTCTTTGTACACAAATTGCCAAAAAACAAATTGCCAAAAAACTCAAGGAAAAAGCCAAAGCAGAGGTGGACAGAAGGCTGTTTTCTCATTTTGAAAAAGCTGAGATAGTTTAACACAACTGCAAGAGCTGTGTCAGACACTGTGATGTATGTTTTAAAATTGTAAATGTTAAAACACTGAATTTTAAATGTAGATTGTTTAATGCATATGTGTCCTGCTTGTTCTTTTAAACCGATGTATGTTTTAAACGTTGTTGTGGTCTTAAACTTGATGCATATTGTTGGTATGTTGTTGTTCCCTGTCTTGATCCATGGGGAAAGGTGGGTAGGAAATAATGACAATAAAAATAACAATGATGATGATGATGATGATGATGATGATGTAAAAAGGGGAGCTGCTTCTCCTGAAAATGTCCCGGACAGCCAATTCAGCTTTTTCTCCGGCCAAAATCAGAGAGGTCAGTGGAGTCTGGAGGGCCACAGAAGAAAAGCCTTGGAGGGGGCCCACCATTTTGGCATCCTGGCCTGGAGGACTTGCCCCTGAACAGATAGATACACCTTGTTTCCCTCATCCCTGATATTTTCCAGTGGATTGTGTGCATATGGACGGCATAGGACGCTCGAGCCCCTTAGCATTCACAGGCTGAGATCCTACATTCGGGTTGCACAGCGTAAAATCTCCATGCGCAGAGTTACATGTCGCTTGGGCTACAAGACCCTTGTGTTGCCCAACAGGCAACATCACTGCACAACTGGTTGTGTAACATTACCAAAGCACTGCATATCCTTGAACAGAACATGGACGTTTAGCTCCAAGTAGAAGATGGCTAGCAAGCCATTGTGGTATAGTGGTATGTGTCTTGCGCTATGACTCCGGAGAGCAGGGTTAAAATCCCTGCTCAGCCATGGAAACCCACTGGGTGACCTTGGGCAAGTCACACTCTCTCAGCCTCAGAGGGAGGCACTGGCAAACCCTCCATTAAGAAAGACTCATGACAGGTTCGCCTCAGGGTTGCCATAAGTCAGAAACGACTTGAAGGCAAACAACACACAGAAGATGGCTGAGTGCTTCCCTCAGGACATCCAAAGAATTTGGGGGCTATGATACTTCCAAACATCTAAAGTCCTGCCTGTGCACCTGTACTTTAAACTGCACACCCCTGTGAGGTAGGCCAACAGGGCCACTGCGTCCATTTCAGCGGCAAGGAGACAAGAAAACGAGTTCATCCCCGGCAGAGGCAAGCCTGCTAAACCTGGTCAGCCATTTTCTATGGGGTGTGTGTGCAAGGAATGGGGCCTCTCCATCCAAAGCAACCCCAGTCCCTTTGACAATGGGGGGGGGGGAAGAAGCCAAAAGGGGGCAGAGAACGGTGTTGCTATGGCGACCAAGACCCTTTCCCCTCAGTCTCTCCTTTTTTCTCCTCCATCTCTGGGAGTGGTTGCCCTGGCAACCAGATGTGGAAGATGGCTTCAGCC